CTAATGTGTGCAAGAAACCCTCCTATGGCAGGGGGCCTGCTCCAATGACAATGGGCTGATTTTCCAATTAACAGAGGTTAAGTAGTATTTTTACTTGAAGACCTACAGTTTAAACTTAGGACATCTGTCACCAAGAAAGACTCATATGGGACACATATGTTGAATCACAAATAACTTCCAGTGGCCAAAGTACACTGACCTCTTCTCCTAATACACAATGACTGTCCACAGGACAAAGGTTTTTATTTGTATCAACTACATCAGTAAAAGTACTTTGCAACTCACTGAGCCATTTAAATAAATCGGAGGCCAAGAAAAGAGTTAATTCATGTAGTTTTCCTATAGAGAGAAAAACGGCAAGCTACTCACTTGCTGTACAAACTAAGAAGAAAGAGCGCAAAGCTTCATTTCATGAATTCAACAAATACAGATTAGACGACAGTCATATGTTGGGGCCGCTTAAGAGGAGGAGGGAGGAAGGGGGCAGACAGCAGAACAGAAAAGGGAAAGGAAAAGAAAAGAGGTTTTAGGAGAAACAGACACTGTTTGGAGTCTCTGGGTGGTGCAAATAGTTAACGTGCTCAGCTACTAACTGAAAGGTGGGAGGTCCCAGTCTGCCAAGAGGCACCTTGGAAGAAAAACTTGGCAATCTGTTTTAGAAAAATCAGCTATTGAAAATTCTGTGGAGTCACCATGCCACCCTGACACATGCAGGGTCGCCACGAGTCACCATGCCACTCTGGCGCACATGGGGTCTCCACAAGTCAGAGTTGACTTGATGGCCGCTGACTTTTTATTTACTGATATATAGGGAGAGGGGTTTGTAAATGGGTAAGAGTAAATCAGACCAGAGGGACACAGGGTCTCCCTCAGTCAGCCTCCAGGGTTAAAGGTGGGAAAGGGCACCGAGGGAGGTGAGGGATTGATGGGAACCACACAGGTAACTGAACACAGTCACCAGCCATGATAGAAAGACCAACACAGACACAAAGGCAGGAGGGGAGACAAGTGGGTACAGAACTAGGGAGAGAGACACAAGACCAAAGAGGTGGCAAGACAGCAAAAGCCTCCCTCTTGAGCCCTTGTGGGATCAAGTCAGTCTACGTAAATATTTAAGCATGCGCACATTGAAATAAATTTGTCTTGATGATAGGATAAAAATACAATCTAGTCTGGATTTATTTGCTCTGCCAACTGGTTCTTTTTAACTCTCCACTTTTTGTTATATTAACATTTAATTAAATGAGTCCTAAAAAACTCTCCTTTAAACTCTCAACCATGCTGACTTGACGGCAATGAGTTTAACCCCCAAAAAGTAAAACACATGAAGAAACTGTTGTTGTTATTGTTATGCGCCATCCAGTCAGACCTGACTCATAGCTACCCCTCCTTGGGTTTCTGAGGCAGTATCACTACAGAAGTAGATTGCCCAACCTTCCTTCTGGATAGTGGCTGGTAGGTTTGAACCACCAGCCTTCTGCTTAGCAGTCAAGTGCCTTAGGCACTATGCTACCCAAGCTCCCATTAATACATAGGAATGAGGAAAACATAAAAGTTACTCAACTTGGTGTTTAAAACATTCAAATTAAAACAATGAACTCTTTTTGTCAAGATTGTTAGATTGGCATAAATTCAAGAATCCTACCCAGTATTAGGATTAATGTAGAAAAGAGGGCATTTCATATCTTGCTGGTGAAATATAAAGTGGTAAATTCTTCTTAGAGGAAAATGCATTTCAAATGGCTTACCAATGAGTATGCCTTTGTATTCAGCAATTACACTTCTAAGAATTAAGTTTTAAGGAAAATTGGACACATGCAAAAATTTCTACAAGGATATTGCATTAGTTTCTTAGAGCTGCTATAACAAAATACCACAAACTGAGTGGCTGATGAACACAGAAATTTGTCATCTCACAATTGTGGTGGCTGGGAGTCTACAGTCAGGATGTCAGCCATGTTGATTCCTTCCACTCTCTCTCTCTGAGGGAGAGTCCGTTCCTGCCTCTCTCCCAGTTTCTGGTGACAGCAAGTGTCCATCTGTCACAACATGGTCATCTTCCCTGTTGTCTCTTCTCTTTTTATAAGGACATCAGTCACTTTAGATCTGGACCCACCCTTCTCCAGGGTGACCTCATGTTTCCAGACAAGGCCATGTTCACAGGTGCTAGGGGTCCGAGCTTCAGCAGATCTTTTGGTGCAATGCCATCCCGTCCACAACTGGTATTTAATACAGTATCACATGAAATGGGAATCGGAAAGCCTGCAAAGTCCAATGGCAGCAAAGTGGCAAGACAGATGACAGTGTGTTTAAAGTGGGACACTGGGCAGATGTACTGGGAGATATAATGAGACACTGTGCAGATGTGACAGGACACCGTGGATGAAACAGAGATGTAGTGGGACACTGCACCGATGTGATGGGACACTGCGTGGACATGATGGGACACCGTGTGGACGTGACAGGACACTGTGCAGAAGTAACAGGACACTGTGCGGACGTAACAGGACACTGTGTGGACATAACGGAGATACCATGGGACACTGAGCAGACGTGACACTGTGTGGACATAACAGATGTGATGGGACACCATGTGGACGTGACGGGACACTGTGTGGACGTGACAGGACACTGTGCAGAAGTAACAGGACACTGTGTGGACATAACGGAGATACCATGGAACACTGCAACTGTGTGGACGTAATAGATGTAATGGGATACGGCACAGACATGATGGGACACTGTGTGGACGTGACAGGACACCGAGTGGACGTAATGGAGATGCAGTGGAACACTGGGCGGACACGATGGGAAGCTGTATGGATGTACAACAAGATATTCTAGTTGCACATTTGTTCCTTGGAGAAGGTGTCATGCTACGTGAAATAAAAAAGGCAAGTTTCAAAACAAGTTGTAGGTCAAGATTCTAATTCCTTTGCTCCGTGTTTTACACATGTATGTTTGTAATGGAATATAGTACAAATGGCTACTCATTCAATAAAAGCGAAAGTGATTCTCTCAGGAGTGTTCCTGAAGATTGTCTTTTCATTTTCCTTTTAGTATTTTTTGTTTCCACAATGAAGAACTGTTCCATTGGTAATGAGGGACAAGGAAGGGAAAAGATTCAAAAGCAACAGTTTAAAACTTTCAGCATGTTTTGATGGGATGTAACTGTCTCACCTGACTCAAGCTCAAGCTTACTGCCATCAGGTCAAGTCTGACTCATAGCGAACTTCCTTGGGTTTCTGAGGCGGTAAATCATTATGGAAGTAGATTGTCACATCTTCTTTCTGTGGAGTGGCTGGTGGGTTTGAACCACCAATCTTCTGGTTAGCAGTCAAATACCTTAAGCACTATGCCACCGATGAAAGTTAAGAGAGCGTGTCATTCATTTAACCACAGGCCCATGGGGGAGCCCTGAGCACAAGAACGGAAGGCAGAAACCCTGAATGGACAGAAGCCAGACTGAAGTTTGCACTGAAAGTGGTCAAGACGGGGCTCCTTCCTCTGCATCCCCACCAAGGCTCGGCCTCTGCGGGTGTTTGCGGGGCCTTCATCCCGCAGGCCCCTCCTCTGTGTCAGGCGGCCGGCACAAGAGTCAGTGTAGGCTCGGAAGTGAGGCGGGTCCCACGCAGCGTTACCACCGACGAGCTACTTGTCCTTAAATGACTCCTTCGCTTCCCCAGCCTCAGTCTCTTCCATCCTGTGGGACGTGGCAAGAATCCCCACCTTAGGCCCTGAGTGCTTTCAAGAAACACCATGTGCCTGGTTCACAGCCCTCAAGACCCAAAGAACTTGGCTTTCATTTTCCTTAATCGTGTCTTTAAGGGTCCTGGGCTTGTCGTTTAGCGGAGTGGAAGCTGGAATTGTTAATTTTATAGAGAAATCAGCGTCATCTTAATGCACCTTTTTTCCTAAATCCTTATCAGAGGGCTCTTTTAATAGTTTTAACTACTGTTTGTTTTAATTTCCAAGCAAGTTGTTACTCTGTGACAGACACCCCATCACTTTGTGTTTCTCCTTTTCTGCCATCTACTTTAAAAACCACAGCTAAGCTTACTGCGGACTCTGGGAGCCTTCCCTGTGGTAAGGCCTCAGTGAGCTGTCTAAGAAGTTTGCTGGGAGATTTCAACATTCCTACCTCCAGACTCAGTCTGACACTATAGCACACTCAGAAAACCACAATCAGCATGCTTTTTGCGTACTGTGTCCTGAATGACGTTTAGACAAACGTCACGCAGTTGACCCCAGTCCGTCATGACTGCAGAGTCACTGATTGCCCTGTAAAATGAACAGTTCCAATCTGCGCCCACACGAACCAGCCTGGGACCCTTCAGGAAACTTCAAAGTGAAAGATTTTGTGAGGCAGGAACCAGGGCAAATGAACCAAAAAAAAAAAAAAAAAAAATCCACTGCTGCCGAGTCAGACCCGACTCATAGCAACCAACCCTTCCTTGGGTTTCCAAGGCAGTATCACTATGGAAGTAGATTGCCCAATGTTCCTTCTGAGGAGTGGCTGGTGGGTTTGAACCGCCACCCTTCCAGTTAGCAGTCAAATGCCTTAGGCACTACACTACAGAGCTCCTGGGTGAACAAGCATCACACTTCAAATGGACTTCTGCCTCTGACTAATTGACTTAGCTCTGCTAACGTATGTGTGTCCTCTGCGTGTGTGTGTGCCTTTCAGCGGATAAAGCTGTGGGATTAGCGAGCAGAGACCCAGTGTCTTCTGGAAGCCTCTTTCTGTAGGAATCCAGATGCCGTTTACAGAATGGCTTCGACGATCAGAGAGCATCTCCCAAACACGTTGTTTCTGTACTGGTGTGCTGCCTGTCTTAGGTGTCTTAGCTGAGGGGACGTCTCCAACCTTCCCTCTTAGCACCGACTTGAAGGGGAGCAGCAGACACCCCAGCAGTCTGGGCCCTGACCCGTCACTCCTTGCGGGGATGAAGGAGGCAGCCAGGGCCCCCCCTGATCTAATGGCCTCCTCTGTTGTCCAGGTGCTGCCGGCGGCCAGCAGGGCTTCCTGGGCTGTATCCGCTCCCTGCGGATGAACGGGGTGACACTGGACCTGGAGGAGAGGGCCAAGGTCACCTCTGGCTTTGTGTCCGGATGCTCCGGCCACTGCACCAGCTACGGGGCCAACTGTGAGCATGGCGGCCGGTGTGTGGAGAAGTACCATGGCTACTCTTGCGACTGCACCCTCACGGCCTACGACGGCACATTCTGCAACAAAGGTAAGGGCGTGCCAGAACCCAGACCATCCGTTAATGTGCGTCACCCTGCACAGGTGAGCTTTACTGTAAGGGTCAGGTGGTTAGAATTCTCTCTCTGTAGGTAGGAAGTTTCCTGGAATACTGTGTTATAACCTGTGTTGTTTATTCGGATGAGAAAAGCTCTGAGTGTGGGGCAGAACAGATCCCGGGTTCCAGCACGCTGGCATTGACCAGAGTGTCACATTTCAGTGGGTGACAGAGAGGGGTAACACGCTGAGTCTCCCTGATGTCACAGTGAATCAGCCACCCTGCCAGGGGCCTGGATACCTTCCCAGCTCCGAGAGACACCCTGCTGCTAGCGTTTCTCATTACCATTGTCATCACTCCATTCTGGGCACTTCTGGGCCTGGTTCTCAGGCTCAACTACACGGCAACCAGTCGTCAAGTCAACTCCAACTCATGCCCTTGTGTGTCAGAGAACCATGCTCCACAGGGCAGAACCATGTTCCACAGGGCAGGACCGTGCTCCATGGGGCAGGACCATGCTCCACGGGAAAGAACCATGCTCCACGGGGCAGGACCGTGCTCCACGGAGCAGGACCATGCTCCATGGGGCAGGATCATGCTCCACGGGGCCGGACTGTGCTCCATGGGGCAGCACCGTGCTCCACAGGACAGACCCATGCTCCACGGGGCAGGACCGTGCTCCACGGGAAATAACCATGCTCCACAGGGCAGAACTGTGCTCCACGGAGCAGGACCATGCTCCACGGGGCCGGACTGTGCTCCATGGGGCAGCACCGTGCTCCACAGGACAGACCCATGCTCCACGGGGCAGGACCGTGCTCCACGGGGCAGCACTATGCTCCATGGGGCAGGACCATGCTCCACAGGGAAGAGCCGTGCTCCACGGGGCAGGACTGTGCTCCACGGAGCAGGACCGTGCTCCATGGGGCAGGATCATGCTCCATGGGGCAGGACCGTGCTCCACGGGGCAGCACCGTGCTCCACGGGACAGAACCGTGCTCC